TCCCCTGCACTGAGCAGAACATGTGAGCAGGAAAAGGAGAAGCAAGCCAACCTTCATGCTCTGCTGCCCCTTCCCAGCACCCTTCTAGCTCATGCACTGGGGCTGGGCTGCCTCCTGGAGCTGAGTGCCAGACTATAGGCAGAGACACAGGGGCAGGAAGAGCGTTCCCTGCATCAGACAACTCAAGTTTACATCTCAGCTCCCCACTCGCTGTGTGGATTTGGCCAAGGAGCGACCTCTGTATTCTTCAACTTCTTCGTCCAGAAAGTGGAGGAGAGATGAGCACATGCTCCCAGAAGGACGTTGTTAGGACAGACCAGGAAAACACAAACAGGATGCAAAGAAGGGTTGCAGAAACACAAAACACCCAAGACCTCCACCTTGTGTTCACTTGGGACACACCCCCAAAAGGAAATGATGGTAGAACATGTGAGCATAGACTACTCATTCTTTCACTCACATAACAAACACAAACACGCTGCTGTAATACACAGAGCTCAAGTCAAATATTGGATAACAATAATAGAGATCGTTTCCATTTATCAGCCTTTACAGGACCCACGATATACAAGTCACTGGGCTACTAGGTAGGACACCTGGGATTAGAGAGGCAAAATGGGCACACCTTCCATTCTTTGGTAGATAGCAGAGGTGCCTGCCACAAGGGTCACCTTGCATGGAGGATCTTAGTGGTCCTCTGATGCATTTGGCTAGTGACAGTGCAAAGCTGAGAGGCTGAGGAAGATAGCTCCATGTGTGGTATACCCCAAGAGTTAGGCTTCCTGTCTACATGCCTACCAGCAACTTTTCCTTTCTTTTTCTTTTCCTGTTTCTGTGAAGAAAAGTCCATCAATGTGGTTCAAACATGTTCACTCTCTAATTGGATGCCAAGTGATTTCACACATGGCCTGAGGGTGGTAGGGTCTCTTCGCTACTTTTCTGTGATAAAATACTCTGACCAAAGCAACTTAAGGAAAAAAGAGCTTATTTTGGCTCAGGGCTCCAGATGGAGAGTCCATCATGGCAGGGAAGGCATGGTGGCAGGAGCATGAGGCCAGCTTGTCACACTGTACAACAGCCAGAAAGCAGAGAGAGCAAGAACCAAGCAGGGTATAAACCTCAAGGCCTGCCCCCAGTGACATACTTCTTCCAGGAGGGCTCCATCTTCAAAAGGATTCACAACCTTCCTAAACAGTACCACTAGCTGGGATCAAGCTTTCAAACACATTAGCCTGTGGGGGACTTCTCACATTCAAACCACAACACAGGGCTTCCTGTAAAGATTGCCAACCTGACAGGGCTCAGCATTGACTAAATATATTGCCCAAAGATCAACAATTTTTATACTGAGTCTTGAAAATCGGAGCCTAAAATTTGGGGTATTTTTAGGTTATTGAGACCTAAATGTTAATACCAGATCAGTCAAAAGTTAGAAAGTAACACATTTTGAGTGTTTCTAGATCACCATGCCATTCACCTTGTGTTAATGTGACAAAATCCCTGACACAAACAACCTAAGAGAGGAAAGATTTATGTTGACTAATGGTTGCAGAGGTTCCAGTCCATTATGGCAGAGGGTGCACAGAGAAAAGCAGCACATTTCAGGACAGCTGGCGGGGAGGAGAGGGGAGGGGAGAGGAAAGGGAGGGAGAGGGAGAGACAGATCTATTGGGAGAGAGACTGAAAGAAAATGAGAGAGAGAAAGACTGTTCCCTTTTAAAAATGTGTCTTTATTTAAATGTGCTCCTTTACAATCTCATCCATGCATATAATGCATTCTGAGCACCCTCACCCCCAACTCTCTCCTATCCCTGTCAATCTCCTTCCTCCCCCTTACATGTCCCTTTACAGTATTGATGTCTTTTTGTTTAGTTTTTCGATCCACTGAGTTTAACCATCTGAGTGGGCATGGGTGTGGAAATATCCATTGGTGCTTAGTGGGCTCAGCAGTGGGTATACATCTGAAGGCAATGACTGCTCTTCCTCCAGCATCCACCAGTAGGCAGCACCATAGTTCAGCATAGAAGGTAGGGTACCATGGGCCCCGCCCCATCCATGGCTGGCCATAGACAGACCTGGTCTTGTCTTACTCTAGGGCTTTTCCTCCCAGCCAGCTGGGTCTTCCCATCTTTGTTAATCCTGTCTGTGAATACCCTCATAGACACATCTAGGGATAGGCTTTTCTAATCTCCTAGACACTTCTCAATCAAATTGAGAATCAAATTGAGGATCAAAATGAACCATCATAACTACCAATTATGTCCAGAGACCAAACGAAAAGCTTGGGTACACCACCAATAATTTCTAGAAATGTTCTATTTGTGAGAGCAGAATAAAAAGAAAGAAGGAAGCAGAACTTCAAATTACTAACTTCAGCCAGACTACAGAGACACCAGCCATCCTGCCTGAGGACAAACAATCTGCCTCAGCAAAATGGCACAGAAGAGTAGGGAAGTAGTGTTGGAGATGGGGTATTGTCCAAACCATCAGCATCCCTCACCCTAAGGCTAAGACTTGCCTGTGACCCTTTCATGAAAACCTCAGGCATCATGAGTGAGTGAGTCTAAGATACATAAAGACACAAGAAACTATGTAAGAAACAATATAGGAAAATGGCTTCATCCCTCCTACCTGAGCCAATGTTTACTTGACTGTGATTGAAGTTCCCCTTTTGGCATCTACCACTGGCTATACTTTGGCATATGTTTTCATTTATAAAAATTGGACTCTGTATAAAGGATAGCCATAATCCAAGGGAGTTTAAAATTCCTCAGTAAATGGCAAGAGTAAACTTAAGGCTAGTGTAGAGCAGTGACTCTCGGACTTGAGCAGGCATTAGAATCACCCAGCCACTGGGGCTGTTAAGACGCAGTGCTGGGCCGAGGCTGTATAGGTTCACTCAGTAGGTCAGCACTGAGGTCCCAGCACCTGAATCCCCAGAGTCCCCACATACAGTGGTAGCTGTGCCTGCAGCTGATGGATGAAAGGTTACCTTTTGTAAACCACAGGTGGAGAAAAGACCCAAGAAGTGGGTTTTCCAAGCAAGAACCTTTCCACTCTACCACACCATTCATTCCACTTAGCTCTTCCTGCAGATTCTGGCAAAGTCTATTCTGACACACATTTTGTCTTTTCTGTGGCCCCTGGGCATAGAGTTCAGAGATCATAATCCCTGCTTGGTGGTCACTCTCCTGGTGATGTATGTGTGGCCCAGTTGCTCATTCATGCATGCATTTGTAATGACACAATAAACACCAAGCAAAATAAAAGCTAGGACCTTGAAAATAACCTTTATTTGCTCCTATGAGATTTACCCCATCTATTGGCACTTCCCAATGGATAAGTGACCAGTTAAATCTCTTGCTATTCTTGTCCTGATCTATACACATGACTGTACAGAAGAATACTGAACAACAGTCAAAACAAATGAACTCAGGGGTGGGAGGGATGGTCCATCGATTAAGAGCACTGGCTGCTCTTCTAGAGGATTTGGGTTCAATTCCCGGCACCCACATGGCAGATAACAACCATCTGTAACTACAGTTCCAGAGTAATCTGACACCCTCTTCTGATCTCCACAAGTATTGAATAACATGGGTGCATTTTCATACATGCAGACAATATATTTATACATGTAACCTAAAAATGAACTCTATCAACAAGCAATAATATGGGGGGATTTCATCTCTACAACACTGTTAGGGGAAAAAGTAAAGATCACATTCAAATACTACCATTTTATAATATTAGAAATATATATTCTTTAGGCTGCCTTAAAATAGATGAACATTTCAAAATCTTTCTACTACTTTCTAATTACTGAATAAATACATGTTGGGGGGTGGAAATGTAGCTCAGTGGGAGGAGTGCTAGCACAGCATGCACAAAGCCATCTCCAGCACTGCATAAAGCCAGGCATGGTAGCTTATGCTTATAATCCTAGCACTAGGGAGATGGAGGCAGGAGGATCAGAAATTCAAGGTCCTCTTCAGTTACATAGTGAGTTTGAGATCAGCTTTGGAATACATGAAACTCTGTCAGAAAATAAGAAGGGAGGGAAGGAAGGGAGGGAGGGAGGGACAGAGGGATGGAAGGAGGGAGAGACAGAAGGAGAGAGGGAGGGAGGGAGGGAGGGAGGGAGGAAGGAAGGAAGGAAGGAAGGAAGGAAGGAAGGAAGGAAGGAAGGAAGGAAGGAAGGAAGGAAGGAAGGAAGGGTGGGTTACTGTCTTGATGGGGGAGGGAGGAACCTTATTCCTCCATGTCCTTCCCAGCTTCCTTGACAAAGCTCATCCTGACCTCCAGCTGTAGCCTTCAGTATACATAAAATAGCTCCCAAATCAAGAGACTTGATGTGCTCAGGCAACTCACAGAAGAGGGAACAAAGTGGTAAACAAGCATAAAGGTGTGTTGGTGCTGCCCATAATCACAGAAATGGAAGCATTTGGGGAGGGTATCATCTCATGACTACCAAGTTAGCAAAAATGGGGGAAAAACAGAACAGCAGTGACTCTTCTCGGTGATGTCAGGTTAGAGCTGACAGACGCAACAGTGTGAACTATGAGAAAAATTCAGCCAGCTGTGCAGTGAAATGTGGCCATGATTCACGCTCACATCTCTCTTGGCAGAATTCATTCTAAAGAAGTAACTCAAGGGAGGGAAGCAACTCGGATGGTCCCCAACAATGCAGCAACTTGGAAAACCACAGCAGCACAACACAGCAGGCAGCACCCAACACAGCTGAGGCTGACTGTAGTTTGGAAGGAAAAATGTATGACATTTAATACATGAGGAAGCCCAAGTCCAATTGGCAGGCACATTGTCATCAAAACATGAAATGTGTATCTACCCAGACAAAGGCTGCAAGGCCAAGTAAGGGCAAAAATTACCATTGCGGCAGTGTTTGGAGGTGGGCATGGGTATTGTTTCTCCATCCTGTGTCTGTCTCAGTGTGACTGTTGTGGTGTGCTGCAACTATTATTTTAAGGCAAAGTGGCTCCTACCTAGAGAACTCTCACAGCTCTCCTCATCACTGTTGTCCTGACAGTTATTCTGTCCATCGCAGATGAAACTCTTGTCGATGCATAGGCCGTTCCTGCAGTGGTAGCGGGCAGTGGAGCAGAGCAGGGGGTTTGCTGCTGTGGGGAGAAAACAGAGAGGGTCACCAGGGAGCCCAGCCTGTGCCCTTAAAGTCCCCAGAACCTCCTCCAGGCAGCTGTGTGTCCCTACTTGGGAGTAGCTAGGTCAGGCTTAGGGTCAGACTCACAGCCCAACCCAGAGACTGGCCAGCCAGTGACATGGACAAGACAAGCCTTATTCTACCCCCTTCTAAATGGTCCTTCTCCAGGCCACTAACCTGGTGCCCTGTGACCACACCAACATGGCCAGAGGTCAATGACTCACTCTGAACAGTCAACCCTAGGTTGGCCATCAGCCTTTACTGAGTCTAAAGCAGAATCCAGAGCTCATGGACTCTTTATGGGGAGTGAAGAACAGAATGGCTGGTGGCAGGAGACATGGGAAGAATGGCAAGTCAGAAGCAGCAGATGAGCTGGAGACTGTGAGCCTCTGCCATCAAGGAAGGGACCAGCAGATCAGACTCAAAGCTGCAAACGATCCTTCTGATTCTCTCTTCTCTCTCTCTCTCTCTCTCTCTCTCTCTCTCTCCCCTTCCTCCCTCCCTCCCTCCCTCCTTCCCTCTTTTCAGTTCTGTATGTATATGTGTGTGTCTGCACGTATATATACAGGTTTGTATTTATGTCCACATGTGTATGTGGGAGGAGGCCAGAGGTCTTTTTCAGTTTCTCCCCACCTTATTTTCCAGATAGGGTTTCTCACTGAACCTGGAGCTTTCCAGTTGGCTAGACTGGCTGGCCAACAAGCCCAGATGATCTGCTTATCTCTATCCCATACCCCGCCCCCAGAGCTGAGATGGCAGACTCACACCACCACATCAAGATTTTTAAGTAGGTGCTGAAGATCTGAACTCAGGTCCTTAAGCTTGTGTGGCAAGAACTTTATCAACTGTGCTATCTCCCCAGCCCCTCTGATGCCTTCTCTATCCACCAGACTCCTTACTATTCTTCCAAGTTCTCTATTTAACAATGGTCTTCACTCATCTGTCACCAAGCAAACTCCTGATTGCACCCAGAGGGGTTGGTGACTATTCCTTGAGCAGCGCCTCCATGAGGTCACTGTTCAAGGCACTTTCAGGGATGTTAAAAGAAATTGCAGAATTGGGCCATGAAGTCCAGGGAAAAGACGTGGCAACTGGTAGTCTGAAGCAGACAAAAAGCTAGTGAAACATATATGCAATCTCCACAGGAAAACAGTACTGACTGGAGAGAAGGCTCAGCCATTGAGAGCACTTACTGCTCTTGTAGAGGACCCAGGTTCAGGTCCCAGCACCTACATGGTGGCTCACAACCATCTGTAACCAGTTTTAGGGGGTCCAAAGACCCCTGTCCTCCACAGGTACCTGAATGCACGTGGTACACATAAACTCACAGAGGTGTGCACATGTGCATACCCCACCACACATACACAAAAGAAAAAAGAAAAATAGTACTTCTAAACAGTGATACTGTGTGACTGCTGCAGCCATAGCCCATGATGCCAATCTTCCTGCCCACAGAATTTATTTCAGTATCACATGAGATGCACGAGAAAATGTCCAGTGCCAGGTCTGACAGGCGGCCACAGTTCAAATAGTGTGATCCTCAATCTCTCAGCTATCTCTGTCCTGGACCTACAGAGTGTGAGACCTCTGGTAAGAAGGGACAGTGGTGATAATAGGAATTGTCCTGGACCTCAATAAGGAATTGAGCCTGAGCTGGGACTGCTCAAAGTGAGAAGAACATCAGAATGAATGCCAGGCCCAGCCCTGAGGGTCTTCAGTATCAAACCCAGTGTCTCAGTGGTCTTAAACTGCAGGGTGGGGTTGGAATCTGTCTACTCCACAGCCTCTCTGAGCTAAACTGAGATACACGGAGATCACAACTGCAAAAACTTAGTAAAGTTCACGGGTTATGCAAACCTGAAGGACAGTAGACTTTTACCCCTCTTTATTCAACACAGAAAGTTTAATTTGAAAGGTCAGAGGAACGAGAAGAATGGGTAAGTGAGAGCTCTGAGTTTTAAGGCTGAGGGGCCAGCCAGTATAAAGTCAAACAACAGTAGTCTGGCCTGAAAATGGAAGGGTTCATTATTTAAATCACTGTGGGCCAAAGAATGGCTCAACTTATTCAAGCAGGAACCAAGGTCTGACTGAAGCCCAAACCAAAATGGGAAAACCCAAAACCACAAATCACATTTGGTTTTTGTCCGTGGCAGCAGTCCAAACCCTTCTGTCCATCAGCATCCCACCACAGTGGCCTTCAATTCCCTGGGACCCAGTGGTCACATCTGTGCAGACAAAGCATCAGTACCAATCAGCTCATTCAAAAGGATGGCCTGGAAAGGCAGGCTAATGGGTCCAGGATGGGGGAGACAAGCTAATGCAAACACCCTATGGGGACACTGCCAGAGTGTCATCATCTCACTTTAGCTTTAGCTTCAGACCCTTTCAGACTTTTCCAAAGAAGAACAGTCTTAGTCTTATGTATAAGTATGTACGAATGGATGCATAAGCATAGTACAGATCTGCATATGCTTACATGTATAAGTATGAAAGGCAGTCATAGATTGATCTTAATAAATATAGTCAACAGGACCTGTACTGGTTAGTTTTTGTCAACTTGACACAAATTAATAATACCTGGGAATAGGGAATCTCAAATGAGGAATTTCTTACATTGGATTGGCCTGTGGCCATATCTGTGAGGCATTTTCTTTCTTTCTTTTAATATTTTTATTTATGTGTTTGAGTGTATTGCCTGCATGTACATAAGTGCACCCCTGTCATACAATGCCTGTGGAGGTCAGAAGAAGGTGTTGTGTTCCCTGGAACTGGAGTTATGGATGGTTGTTCACTGCCGTGTGAGTGCTGGGAATGGAATCTGGGTCCTCGGAAGAGCTGCCAGTGTTCTTAACCACTGAGCCATCTCTCCAACCCCGAGGCATTTTCTTAAATGCTAATTAATGTAGGCGGGCCCAGTCCATGGTGGGCAGTGCCATCTTTTGGCAGGAGGGCCTGGACTGTATAAGAGGGTAAGCTGAGCAAGCCAGAGGCAGCAAGCCAGTAAGCAGCTTTTTTCCATGGTCTCTGCTTCAGTTCCTGCCTCCAGGTTCCTGCCTTGAGTTCCTGCCTTTGCTTCCTTCGGTGATAGGCTGTAAACTGTAAGCCAAATAACCCCTTCCCCAAGTTGTTTTTTGGTCATAGTGTTTATTACAGGAACAGAAAACAAACTAGGACAGGGCCATTAGTCAGAATATATAAAGAATCATCACAATCCAACAAAAGCAAAACAGTACAGAAGAAAATGGGCAAAGGTCACAACAAGGAATTTCCCATTAAAGGACTGGCAAGTGGTCAAGAGAACCTTGGAAATAATGTAGAATGCTGCCAGTAATAAAGCATCAGGCTGACCCAACTTAAGGTCCTAAAATATAGGTTGTTGGCAAGGATGTAAAGGAGAGGAAGTGTCCTAGACTGAGAAGGGGGAGCAGTTGGTAGGTCTACCTCAGGGAACAATTAATTAGACTCCAGTAATTTACTTCCAGCTGCTATATACTCTAGAGAGACCTTTGAACAAGCACAAATATAAACAAGGTGGCACACACCTTTAATCCCAGCACTCGGGAGGCAGAGGCAGGCAGATCTCTATGAGTTCAAGGCCAGCCTGGTCTACATAGTGAGTTCCAGGACAGCTGGGGCTACAGGGAGACCCTGTCTCAAAAAGATCAAAAAAAAAAAAAAAATGTAAAAAAAAAAAAAAAAAAAAAAAAAAAAAAAAAAAAAAGCCACTGTTCATAGGAGAAAAAAAAACATACTAGAACTGACACAAATGGTCACTAATAAGGAAACAGTGTCCTACATTACACCAATGTGATACTCTAAAGCCTAAATTAGTTTTTTTTTTTCTGTCAAGAGCCAGATAGTTACATACTTGCTACTCTACTGTGGCTCCAGGGGCCACAGAAACCCCTAGACTTGAGTCCTGCCCACCCCCTGCAGGGCAGAGACCAAGAAAGGAAGGTGAAAGGATGTATCCCAAGCCAGCAGCAAAGCTACACAAAAAGGGCTCCCTCCATCAAAACACAAATGGCCAATTCATGCCAAAAAGGTGCCAGGAGCTTGAGAAAGAAGTCTCCATCCACTTTCTCGGTGCCTACTGAATCTCCATTTATCCAGCTCCCAAGGACAGGACAAACTAGATGGAAGTGGGTGAGGCTGCTATCCTGTGGACACACTGGCAGCAAGTAAGAAAAGCCACCAACCACTAGAGGGGATGGAGGCTAAAAATATGTGACCTCAAGAATTCCAGGACCTTAAGAGAGTTTCAAGAGACCAGAAAGTTCTAAAAACAAAGGTAACTCCATTGCATACCCTAGTCTAAAAAAAAAAAAAAAATCCTGAGAATGACCCTGAGCTGCTACCAAAAAAGGTAAATGTTGATGAAGCTGAATTGTAGCCCACCTCAAAAAGACACCTGTCAGTGAGTGATGGTACCCAAGGCATCAATGTTCAGTCACCAGGCAGATGCTCTCACCAGAGTGGCAGATCTCCCTGGGGGCCCAGGCATATCAAAGTCTCTTACATGAATTCCGGGTCTCTACATCTATTTGATAGGCTTGGCCAGGCTGTAGAGCCAGTGTGCACAGGCCCCTGTGACTAACATTGAAAACTTCAAGTGGGCTGGGCTCAAGCTTAGGGATTTCTGTGGCCCATGGGGACTGGCCCAGGACCTGCAAACTGCAAATACTGAGCCACCAGCTCATAGGCTGATGAGATGGTGCCTACTTCATGATGTTATAGTGTGGTTTCTTTGAGCAATGCTTTAGGCATCCCAAATGCTTATACTGTCTTTATCCTCACTAAGGTTTACCAATCACTGAACGATGTAATTTTACTCAGTTAAATACACAGAGAAATAGTGTGTCCTGCAGTATCTATTACATTGGAGATGGAGAAAACTGTCTGTGGCATCAACTTAAAAGCACCTTGGGAATTATTACCACAAGAAACGTTGAGCTTTGA